AAAATTCCCTCTCTACTAGTTTAAAAAAAAAAAAAAAAAAGAGCGGAAAGAGAGTGCAACCATATTCCATCTGAAAGCCAAATACCAAATACTTCTTTTGTAGAAACCATCTTGAGGTCAAAAGGTACTCAAGGTTGGGTAATAAGATGAGTGGGTACCTCACATGCTTTGGGAACCACACCACTGCGAGGGGTGAGTACATAAACTGTCCAACTCGGATTTTGAAGTCTCTAACAAGTTAGCAGTTACAGATTTGTTAAATGGAAGCTTTAAGGCAAAGATTTAGTGATTGGCCACCTAAATTATGGATGTCAATCCTGTACTTAAATTGCTTGAACTTAATCACAAAATATAACTCGCTGATAATGTTTTAAAGGAACATAATCCAAAAAATGTCTGAAGGACAGCTCTTGCTACTAGTCAAACAGGAGCCCAGATTACTAGCTAATCTTTATTTTAAAAAGAATTTCCTTTTTATCCATTAGCAAGGCTCACAGCAGCCCAGAAAAGCTTGAGTGTTTGAAACTAATGATATCATCCTAAATATTCAAAGGAACAGACTTCAGCATTATTTCCATGCTCTTAGGGTAATAAAGTATATGCTTTTGAATATACTAAGCAATATTTTAACTCAGGCAAACATTTCTTTAGCATTTAGCTGTTGGTCAAAAATTTGACTTTTATTTTTTAATAGCTTGTGATACAAATGATACAGAGGTACAAATGATGACCCTTTATTGGTTATTTAGTGCAATCATTTAAAAGTATTCTCATGTTTACGGCAATGTTTTTCTTTTGGGGGGATCAGCAGAGGGTACTTTATTTTAGTTACGTTAAGGGAATTTTCCTTACCAAATTTACTACTTCTAAAATGTCATTTTTAATGATCACAGCTTAATGTACAGAGCGTTAACTATATATACCAGGCACTGCTCCAGTAATTTACATATGTGAACTCATTTTATCCTCTGAACAACCCAAGAAGTATTAGTTGTTTTTTTTTTTAAACACATGAGGAAACTAAAGCACTAAGAGGTTATTTGCCCAAAGGCATACAGCTAGTTAGCCACAGAGTGAGGATTCAAGCTCTGTTTTAGACTCTGTGCCCTTAGCACTTTTCTTCCATTTATTTAGCACATTAGCTTGATCTCCTGTTTTTGAATTCTTAAAAAGTAGCTAACTTGATGCTGGCTAAAATCCAAAACCAACAAAACACCCATTATTTTATTGAAATCACTTTCCAAAAATTTAAGGAGTTTTATAATTTTCTCTGTAATTAAGAGCAGGTACCACTTATTTGTCAATCATGCCAGTGTGTCATTCAGAGAGTGTAAATTAGGCACTATGAGAAAAGTGAGAACATATTAAGCGTTGTCACTTAGACATTCTAAGTGCTTAATTTATAAAATAAGTTACTCTTTGGCAGTATTTGTCATGTGCATTTGAAAATGAATACTCAGATCATCCTGAGGGCTTTCCCTCACAACCCACAACCAACTGGTTCCCCAGTGCCACTGCAGAGGGTGCAGGGGGAAGAGGAAGAAGCAGTTTGAGTGGCGGCAGTCACCCCTCGTGGACAAAGCCATGCATGGAAATATATGGCATGAGTAACAAATTACTTCACAAACTTACATGGACTCTATGAGACGCCTATACCATCTGCACCTTTTGAGAAAATTCTTAAGATTGTGTATTGTTTGTTCAGTCTTTACGTAAATGTATACGGAGTGTCTTCCATATATTTTCATTGAGAAGAAATGTAAGTTCAGAAAATTTATCTCAAGGAGTAGATGATATGAGGAAGGAGGCCTAATGGAACGAAACACTCCACGTTGAAGCAGGACCGGGACCGTGGGAAGGACAGATCCAGATGCAGCCCCACTCGTCACCAGCTGGGGAACCTTAGTGGAGGTTTTTAAACTCTATGAGCATCACTTTTCTTATCTTTAAAATGAAAGGGGTAATATTTTGAGGCTTGTAAAGGTTAAATGAAAGAGTTAATTCAAAGGGCCCATCAATGCCTGGCATCCAGTGGGCACTCAACAGTTATTATTTTAATAGCAATTAATAAACTATTAATGTTTGGGAAAATAATAATATAAGAACTACAATAAATAATATATTAAAAAGGGAAAAGAGGGCTTCTCTGGTGGTGCAGTGGTTGGGAGTCTGCCTGCTGATGCAGGGGACACGGGTTCGTGCCTCGGTCTGGGAGGATCCCACATGCCGCGGAGCGGCTGGGCCCATGAGCCATGGCCACTGAGCCTGCGCATCCGGAGCCTGTGCTCCGCAACCGGAGAGGCCACAGCAGTCAGAGGCCCGTGTACCGCAAAAAAAAAAAAAAAAAAAAACTAGCAGATTTTCAAGACCCTTGCAAATTGTCAGGCAGCACACCAAACTCTAAGGACCCTCAAACTTTGCACAGAAGTGGTAGATGTTTTAAAAAAAAAAAAAAAAAAAGAGGGAAAAGAAATGTGTTAAGGAAAGTAAATATAATCAATTCACAGAAAGAAAGTGTCACTATAAACTACTGCTTCAAGGATCAGGAAAGAACTAGATGGCCATTAAAAGCTAGAAAGATAAAAGCACTGCCAGGAAGAAAGAACATTGTAAATAAGGGTTTGGAAGCCTGAGAAGCTTGGGACATTTAGAGCCTCAGGCAGAATTCTCTGAGTTGAGGTCAAAGTTCAGAAAAAATAAAGGAAGACACAGACCACCTGCCCATCACGAGGGCCCTCGAACACCGGGCGAAGGCAGGGCCCTGAGACTCTGGTCCGTCACAGACCAATCAACAGGTTCAATTTTGTCAAACGTAAGGGAAATACTGGTTCAGTTTTTGTGTGTGTATAAACAATCATGAAATTTCAAAAAGTAATACCTAATTAAAGAATTCATATCCATTAAAAGCTATTTTGTAATATTTTCCTTTCCAATTGTACTCCAGTAGCTGGAGGATACCACTAAAATACATTTATGATGAAAAGAGACAAAACCATGAAGTAATTGTAACTTCTAAACTTGGCTCTTTTCTTTTTTTTTTTACATCAATCAGAAAATATATCAAAGATATATGCCTGCTATATAAATGTCCAAAAGAAGAGTCCATGGTTATTTGTAAAGATAATACCTAAAACAACAAATATTTTATATACAATAATTTTCCTTAAAAACTATTTATTTTGAAAATATATAGGAAAAAAAGGTCCAAATACATTCAGTATACTTTAAAAATTGAGCTTTCATTCAAAGACTGAGTCAAAAGAAATGTGAAGGCATACAGAATGAAAATACCATCCCCCAACTCCCAGAAAGAACCAGCAGTAGAAAGGAAAGGAGAAAACATCAAACATAAAAAGGAAAAATGTAGATAAGTTAACAAATAAATTTATAAGCTGTGATCAATAAACAGGAAAGACGTTCTCTGACAAAATTATTTTCCCACAAATGCTGAGAATCTGGCTTTCACGATGTTTAAAAAACAAGTCAGTCATTGAAATCCTGTAACCCTACTATCTGCTCAATCAAGCTCAAAGAGGTAGAAAATCAAGCTACAAAAACTATAGTAAGTAATTAATGTTCAAGATGGAATATTTTAATAATTTTAACCATCACCTAACAACACTGATAATTTAAATCATTTAAGAAAATTGTCTCTTCAATCTGCTTTCCTCAAATCTGAAGTCTTTTACAAATTTAAAAAGGAAAATGAAAATAAAAATGTAGCTTATAGATTAAGTATTTAAATGCAGCAAACTAATTTTGTCTTTCAAACCCATTTTTCTGTTTCCATTGATGTTTACTAATTTTAACGACTATGCTCTACTGTAGTGTGGATGACTGGTTTCCAGTCTTGTAAAGAATGAGACCCTATCACTGTCAATCATTTTTGAAGACTCCCCCACGTGAGATACGTATACTCTGTACGGTACTATGAGTTCTATATAATGTTTTAAAATATACACACGTATTTCAGAAAGATCAGCATGCAAATTAGACCACATGCACTTTTCCAGAGACAGTAGCTGATGTGCCTAACTCAATAACTCCTCAGAGGTGCAAGAGCCACTGGGTGGGAACTACTAATTTAGAAGTCAGCTCGGAAAGCATATAACCCGTTCACATTTGTTTAGTGCTTCATGGTTTATGACAGGATTTACACACCAACCCTGAAAGGTAGACAGAGAAGGTATCAGAATTCTCACTTTACAAATAAGATGGAAGTCGAGTGAGACTAAAGAAATGGGTCGAGGTTACACAGCCTTAACAATGGTGAAGTATCCACTAGATAACAGGTCTTATTACTTATTACTAACTCAATACTTTTAATCCATTTATTCACCTGGTCATGAAAGGGCAGTGTAATCATTTTTGTAAAATCAGACTAACACGCTTAACTAATAATTCTGAGAAAAAAAGACATATTTTAATTTATACCTTTTTGGACCATCTAACAACTTGGGTTACAATTCTACATAATAATAATTTGGGGGTTATTAAAACAAGAAAGAAATGGCAAAGTGAGCTAGGGTATGCTAAATAGATAAGCCCACTTAGAAAAGTGTTATGAATTAGGAAGACAATAAATTTCCAAATGTTGCAAAATGTTCAAGTTCTAATATTTTTAAACTTTCACATTATACTTGTCATTTCTAAACTCTGATGTAATAAACCCAACTGTCCGGTTGATTTCTTAGTAATCCTAACAAGATTGGGTCGTTACTCTAAGACGTAGTAACACAACTCATTAATTAGTTACGAGTAAGAATTCCAGTTTTAGAACAATAAACAAGGTGCTATGCAAGAGAATGTGGGAAATATTAACTCAGGGTTATTTACTAAAAGAACGAAAACCATAAAGTCAAGAAACTGGAGGTGGAACATCATGTTTTAAAGCATATTATTTTGTATTTTCAAAAACCTTTACGATACTTTTTCGGGTGGGATATTAAAATGTTTCCACACAAGAGCACATTAAAACAGTGATGAAATAAAACGCTTACAGGTTTGTATCTCAGTGCATCTCTGTAGGATCCGAACAAAGCAGCCTGAGCCCTCAGGAAGGCCCTAGCCACTCCGTCCCCCGTAGCTGTAGACTGCTTCTTCAGTTTATTTTTCAGGGCTGAGACCTGCGGGACAGAGAGGAACCATTAAATTCACACCTCAGAGATTGGTACAGCGAGGCACGAGCCCAATGGGCAGGCGGACCGCAGCGTGTGCAGGTCAGCCTGAGCCTCATCCTCTGCCTGACGGCTTATCTTCTAAGTCAGGGAGCACCTGCTGGTCTGTTAATTGAAAGGAAAGCAGGGGCCCACAGTAATGAGCTAATGCAAATTGGTCTGTGCTCTCTTTTTTTCCCAAGGCCTCTTGACATAAATAAGCTTTAATTATTTTACAGTAAACTGCGTGTGAGCCACTTTTCTGCAGATTTTTAGCAATTACAACATGTGTCTACTTGTTTGGAGATGAAGCCGGTTGGGTAGCGTTCGACTGCTTGCTAGTTAATTTTATTTTTTGGAAGCTTCGTTTGTATATATAAATAATTTTCCAGTCATTTGTCGAATAGTTTTCACCATTATTAGATAAAAAGAGGGGAGGGAAGTTAAGGTTACTGAGAACCTACCACAAGTGGGGAATTGTGTTGTGCTCGTTAGACACTGTCCCATCTGATCTTCAGAGTCTTCTACGAAAGGTACTCACGTTACCATTTATGAAGAAACAGGGGCTCAAACATGTGAATCGACTTGCCCTCAATATCTGGCTACTAAGTGGCAAAACTGAGATTTCAACCCAGTTCTGTCCAGTTTTCTCCACCACCACATGCAGGATTCAAGGTCATCGTTATTGCCTTATGAACCAGTAATCACATTAATGTTTTAAGATCAAAGAAAAATATATTATCTAGGAATTTGTGAAATTTTAAAAGGCACCTGCATTTGTTATAATTTTTCATACAGTTGCATCCTTTAATTTCAGGTTGTGTGTATTTTAGAGAATGCATGCTATTTATGGACAGCCCTTACTTAGACGAGTATTTTCTAAGAGTAATCAACCTTCTGATGCTCACTCTTAGTTTTTAAAGGGGAGGTGATGTGATCTGTTCCTATGCATCCAATTCACTTGACCAATTCCTTTCACAGATAATAAAAACTACACTCTGCACACTTAAAAAATACCATTGATGCTCATATACAGTACTTGTCAATGCTCTACATGCGAACGTGAAGTCACGTAGAAATTCTGTTTTCTTAAGAAAAAACTGATGGGACAAATTCTGGTTGGATTGTTCCCTTATCAGAGCATGTTCTTACCCTTACGATACTACCAGATAACAAAACAATGTCATTCCTCCTTTACATATATATGCAAGGAGGAATATTTTTATTTCTTTATACAAGCAGCCCTGACTACTCTTGTGGATGATGATTGTAATTGAAGTGTCAACCTAATTAACAACTAAACTTTGAATAATGCTAATGAGAAAGGAACACAGCATCAGAGGAAGGACCAGCTCTACAGGTGATAAACCTTCACAGTAGTGACATTTTCCAGTGTAAAGTCACAGTTACTGTGATCTGATCAAAGACAGAGACCCCCATTGGGTCCAATTATAACCACAGTTTTGAAAAAATTATTGAGTTATGATGTTCATAATCTATGCAGAAAGGCCTTTGCAGTATAGGTCTTTCCCCATAGCTGTGATCTTTTCAATTTATACCCAAGCGCCATAGATTCAGATAAAAGTTTAGACTCTAATTCATTTAGCCCACAAAGTGCATAAATTAGGATTCATTTAAGAAGAAGTTTTTATTATTAAAATCTAACCTCAATTAATGCATATTTTTAGGTAACCCACATATTCAAAAATAAATACAGCTGAAGGATGCAAAAACAAACCTCTGACTTAACATCCTTTATTCTTAAGTCTGTAATAATGTTATTTTTTAGGTTTCAAATGCCTTTGAAAAAAAACCAATGGGGATGAAAATCAATACATGTATTTCATTATTGCCCTCTAAAAAGGCTTATGATGGAAAGAATAAGATTCTAGTCTTCCAAAGTATTATAAAAAGAAAATGATTGGGTTATTTTAATTTTTACTTTAGAAATAAAGAAACTTTTTAAATGTCATGCCTTGTATCTTTGTAAAAGAAAATTCCTCAAGATGTATTTTTCTATAAAATCTGGAAGCGACAATTCAGTTCTCCACAAATTAAGAATCCTTAGGACAAGCATGACACATATGCTCCCAGAGACTGGAGGCAAGTCAAACCATCCCTCACCCTTTATTACCCCAAGTCCTTGATTACTTAATCAATGCGTAAGTTATCCAGGGTATTCATCACACTGCCTCAGGCCCTTCCTAACCAAATCATAACGAGGTAGCCTTCACTTCCAGAATTAGTCAGTGAGAGCTCCTGAACTTCCTCAAGAGCTCTATACAAAATAGGAAAGAAGAAAATACCTGTTCTAGAACTGTCCGAAACGGTAACCACTAGATGCACAAGCACTTGAAATGTGAGTAGCCCAAATTAGCATTTGCTATTAGTGTAAAAAAAAAATACACTGGATTTTGAAGACTTAAAAAGAGCAAAATACCTCATTAATAATTTTATTGATTACATGATGAAACAGTATTTTGAATATACTGGATTAAATAAAATACATTATTAAAATTAATTTCACCTATTCCTTTTTACCATGATTACCAGAAACATTTTAATTGCATATGTGGCTCATATTATATTTCTATTGGACGGTGCTATTCTATATGAGCATACTATATAATTTCAAACAGACATGTGAGACTAGCAAGAAATATGGTTAAGTTTTTCCTTTGCCTATTTCTACATTATTTCAACCTTTACAAACAGCACATAAGGAATTCTTCCTTGATCTACTCTAGGTGGGCTTCGACTGCCAGTAGGTCTGAGGTGGTTCCTGTTTTTCAGAGACCAGAAGGGCAGCTGAGTTAAGCGTTTCTGTGTGCACCAATGAGAGCTCAAAAACAGCCTGTAAAAATGAAAGCGTTTTTTAATAGTCAGCTTCAGCTATTAGGATATTACTCTAACATAAAATGATTGTGTCAGCCTTGCTATTTTCCTGTCCTTTAGACCACTGGAGTAAATTATCACCAGTTACCACTACGCTTTGCAGAGCTAAATAGCTTTTAGCAGTTTTTATCTATAAATAAGGTAATATATCTTCTGCACTTATTTAAAATACTTGGTCTGGGAAATAGCATTTTCTGCTTTAATTTCCAAACTTCTAAGTTTAGTTATGAAATAAATGTACATCTTTCCATGAGATCCTAAAGTTTATACTCACATATAACTAAATTCAGAAAAGCATTTGGAACCTTGGTCACATGGCTATTATCACAAAATCCTATCATGGGATCTTGAAAAAGTATCAATTGTTTTCTCTTTTTATTCTTAACAAAGTAAGCTTCAATCTCCGATGGCTAAAGATGACTTGAAAACTGACATTTTATTTTATTATGACATTTTTTAGTCTGTATATAAATTATTTTTGAAGTCTAATTAGGTATCATACTAGACCTCCCCTGCAAAAAAAAAAAGTTAAACAGTGAAAAAAACTTCAGAATAAACGTCATTTCACTGCTCTTATCAAATGTTCAAATTCCTTTCATACAACAAGAATCCAGGCTTCTAAAGCAGCCATCACAGGAGGAATTATAACCTGGGTTTGAGCCCAGTGGGGGTTCACTGCAACATGAATAATATTACCACCAATTCTCCACTTTTACCCTCTTAGCACTAAGTGACCATGGATAAAAGAAGGGAATTACATGAGTAAACACAGCAAACAGGTATAAATAGAAGAGTGCAAGCCACGTGCACATGGGCTGAGTAATGAAGCAATTATGCCAACCGGGGGTTAGGAAGGGAGGTGACATAAAAGAGCTGAGTTTTTCAGAGAAGTGACAGAAATTTTCTCTTGACTTTTAGATGTGTCTTCTCAGGAAAAATAAATCAATCGCTGTAACCCATAAATTTTAATTTTACTTTTTAGGATCACAAAGAGAAACACAAGGGTAAAGAACAGAAGATAAAAATAAATGTTCAGGAATAACATTAGGATAAAACCTACATGACCGGAAACATCTCTGTGATGTCTTTAAGTATCCTTTTTCCTAACTAAGCTGCACTCTAGAAACTACGGACATTCAGAAAAGTTAATGCTTCAAATAATTATTTGCTTTAGGAAAAAGTTACAAGGTTAAAGTCTTTTATTCTTCCATGAAACATGTTATGGTCATTGTATGAATCAGATATTAAATCCCTACACTTCTTTAATCCTTCTGATGTTCAGTTTTTTAAGCAATAAAATTAACACTTCCTTCTTAACATAATTTTCTAACATGCTTCTATCTAAGAATTAAAACAGTAACCTTTAACATTTATTAAATGAAAAACATATGATACACTCCCAGAGGGTATCATGACATTGTTTCTCTGAATGCTTAAACTACCTTTCGAAGCCTAAAATACCATGTCATCTACAACTATTCTCCCTTCAGAGGCATCTTAAAATGATCACAACCCAAACTGCTCTTACTCTACCTCAAGTCCAATGTCAGTGTCACTTCCGTGCATCCAGGTGCCTTGCAGGTCCTCTCAACGCTGCACCCTTTCTCATCTTCCATAAGCAGTAATCACTGAGCCCCAGCTGTTCGACCTCTGATGTAGATTTCAAATCTGTCCGCTTTTCTCCAACTCCCTGCCACTATCCAGTTCAAGCGCCTCCCATCTCTCACCTAGACCACTGCAAATGGTCTCTGAACTGCTTCATTTCTGCTTCGTTACCCCAGTGATCTTCAGGACCTAGAACCCAAGATGATATTTTTAGAAGTCAAAGTGGATCTCACTATTATTCCTCTGCTACAAATCTCCAGTGAATTCCCAGTAAAGTCTGGAGGTCCTGAACAAGAAGCACAGACCTTCCACTCATTTTAAGATGCCTCTGAAGGGAAAATAGTTGTAGATGATGCTCTCACTCCTACCTGTCTCTACCACCTCATCTGTGTCACCTCTTCTTTTGTTCCTCTAAGCGCAGCTATACAGGACTTCCTTCCATTCCCTGAATCTGCCAACAGCAGAGCCTT